ATCACGCCATGCCTTGCCCACCTGTTTGCTACTGACAGTGCCAGCCTCTCCTGCTCCACCTCTTGCACCCACAGGCACACACACAGAAATCACGCCATGCCTTGCCCACCTGTTTGCTACTGACAGTGCCAGCCTCTCCTGCTCCACCTCTTGCACCCACAGGCACACACACAGAAATCACGCCATGCCTTGCCATGGCGCGTCACAAACACACCCAACCAGCCCCAGCTCAGCCCATCACCCACCAGCCTGGCCGCTTCAAACTCGCCCTCTGCTCTTGTAATCACTGCCAGCCTTTCCTGCTCCGCCTCTTGTACTGACACACTTAAGTCATGCCATACCATACCCTGCCATGCCATACCATGCCATGCCATACCATGCCATGCCATGCCATGCCATACCATACCATGCCATGCCATGCCATGCCATGCCACCATGCCATGCCACGCCATGATTGCAACATAAACCCTAGACCCCGCCCTGCCACCATCAACCCACCAGCTTGGCCGCCTCAGACTCGCCCTCTGCCCGTGTGATCGCTGCCAGCCTTTCCTGCTACCTTCTTGCATTGACACAAACAAAAGTCATGCCCTGCCATGCCATGCTCTCAAGTTAAACCCGAAACCCTAACCCTTAATCCCAAGACCATCACTCACCAGCTTGGCAGCCTCTGACTCGCCCTCTGCCCTTGTGGTCGCTGCCAGCCTCTCCTGCTACCTTCTTGCATTGACACACTGTCACACTCACCAGCCATGCCACACTCCACAACCCACCCACACCGCACTGTACCCATCAACCTACCAGCTTGGCCGCCTCAGACTCTCCCTCTGCCCGTGTGATCGCTGCCAGCCTCTCCTGCTTGCGTTGACACACACACAACTCATGCCCTGCCAAGCCATGCTCTCAACCTATATTAAACCCTAGACCACAAACCATCACCCACCAGCTTGGCAGCCTCAGACTCGCCCTCTGCCCGTGTGATTGCTGCCAGCCTCTCCTGCTCCGCCTTCATCACCACAAACTTGGATCTCTCAGCCTCCTGCTGGGCTGTGGGGAGGATACAAGGGACAAGGAGAGAAGACAAGGAGAGAAACAATATATCGCATGGGAACAGCCTCTCGTGTTCCGCCTTCATCACCGCTAGAAGCAGAAGGAAGACAAAAAAAAAAAACAGCACAACACGATACGATACAGTACTGGGAGAAAATAAGATAACCTGCACGAACAGCTTTCAAAAGCAGCAAGCCACTCACCAACTTGCTTCTGCTCAACAGCCTTGGAGAACTCTGCGCCATACGAAAGATGGGTCTGGAGTGGTTGGGTGCGGTTGGGTGGGAAGTGGTGGGGTGGGGTAGGGTGCGAATGGGGTACGGACCTTAGGGTGAGTATGGGATGGGTGAACACAAATAGGACTGCTGGGAACTCGACGACAAATGAGAGATGGGTCTGATGTGGGTTGGGTGCGGTGGGTTGGGGTGAGGTGCGGTGAACATCGAATATTATGGGTTTGGGATGGTTGGGTTGGTGCAGTGGGGTGGGGTGGGATGGATATCAGGTGCGGGTGAGCATGGGTGGTTTGTTTTGGTCATGGGATGGGTTAAGGGGGATCCGAGGAAGAGACCCAAAATTTGAGACATTTTGAAACATGCTGGTGGCGAGAGTCGCAGCTTTCCAGACACTCCAGAATCACCCTCAACCGCATCAGCACCAGCATCTTTCGTGCCACGTGATCCATTAGTGCCACGTCAGCTCACCAGTGCCACGTCATCCAGCACGATGTTGAAGTCCTTGGCTCGCTGCGTCAGCGCCTCCCGCACAAGCTTCGACACCTGGTTGATGATTCACCACAGGTGGAGTGAAGAGGTGAGTTTACAAATCGCTACTTCTTTACAAACGTAAAAATACTTTATACACATATACATGTACATGTATGCTATGCATGGAAGCTTTACTCAACATTTTTGCATGCTATAATGGCCAAACACCGTAATGCACTGTGCAGTGCACTCACATATGGACGCTCTGTGAGTAGCTGATCCGCATTGAATTGAGCCTGAAGAATAATAAGAAATAAGAAATAAGAGGGGAAAATCACACACACACACAAGGATTATACAATACAGCAATGGGAGCAAAACACCCTCACATTGCAACCCACCACATCCTACCAAAAGTGTACCTGTGGGCCAGGGATATTTGAGTCACTTTGGGGTATTCTCAAAAGTGACTCAAATGCAATCTGCAACCCCTTTTTTTTTGTAGGGTCTAGCTGTGGGACGGGCAGGTGACTTCAGACCTACACGCTATAGCCAAGAAAAAGGTAAAAACAGATTAGTTGCAGACCACCTTGGAGTAATTAACTCCCGATAAAGGGTTATAATTCGTACCGAACACTTTAAAGATGGTCGGCAGGTGTTAGGTCTCATATTCTAACACACACCTAGACCTTTACAGAGATCAGGAAGGAGTTCCCATACTCGTTTTAAACAGCTCACCACAACAGCTTTGAGAACTTCGTTGCCAATGGAAGGCAGCACCCTTTCATCGTAATCCGTGCCGAGCGTCTTAAAAATCGCCGGCAGGTGGGTGGAATTGTAATCCGCAGCTAAACACCTGAATTCACCATACTCCTTATAAGCAGCTCACTACAACCGCTTTGAGCACTTCAATGCCGATAGAGGGCAGCAACCGCCCATCATAATTCGCGCTGAGTGGTGCCATCATTTGAAGATGGTCGGCAGGTGGGTGGTACCTTCTAGCCCACAGCCAAACCTTTACGGGAACCACGCAGAAATTACCGTACTCGTTATAAGCAGCTCACCACGACGGCTTTAAGCACTTCGTTGCCGATAGAAGGCAGCACCCTCTCATCGTAATCCGTGCCGAGGGTCTTGAAAATGGTGGGCAGGTGGGTGTTTTCCGGCTTGGAGAGCACTCGCAGTGTCAGATTGACCATCTGCAGATCTGTGATACGTGAGGAAAAAGGGTGGGGGGGAGAGAGGATGGGAATTGACTCGTGACGATGGTGGGGGCAGGTGGGTGTTTTCCGGCTTAAAGAGCACTCGCAGGGTGAAATTCACCGTTTGCAGATCTGAGTTCGAAGAGAAGAGAGTGAGAAGAAGGGGGGAGAACAGGGCTGAGGAGAGAGAAGATGGGAATTAGAACTTTGAAAGATGGTCAGCAAGTGGGTTTTCAGACGTCTCAGAACACAGCGGGGGAGAGAGAAGATGTGAATACACTGTTGAAGATGGACAGCAAGTGGGTGGGAGTGTTAATCTGACCATCTGCAGATCAGAGTTCAGAAAGGGGTTAGGGTTGACGCATCAAGATTTGGGGAGGCGGGTGTGGGAGGGAGGGGAGGACCGGGGAAAGGGGGCGTGAATATGAGAATAAAAGAGGTCTGGATTTGGGGAAGAGAGGGTGAGAAGGAGTGAGAAAATGTGGTGATAAACTCACTCCAGAGCTTATCACACTCTCTCATTGGCTTGAAGATGGTGAGACGGTGGTGACGGACGTGCATCTCTTAAGTCGACTCAATAGTGAGATGACCCTTGAGTCGACTCAGAGTGAGCTTTTTCCCTCACTGGCTTGAAGGTGGTGAGACAGGGGTGATGGACGTGCGTCCCCTCGCCCTGCTCTCATCCCTTCGTTCCTATAACGAGAAAACCTTATCCTACCTTTTGTTCCTGAAACAAAGACAATTGACCCTACCTTTTGTTCCTGTAACGGAGGTAATCGAGCGGGGACGAGTGCGCACGTCGAAGATGTAGGGCTTCTGCAGCCACGGGATTAGGTACACCCTAAGCACATTCGAGCCTCGTATCGAGCACCCCTAACCTGACCAATTGTTCGTGCAACGAAGATGCGTACCTTTTGTTCCTGTAACGGAGGTGATGGAACGCGGGCGAGTACGAACGTCGAAGATGTAGGGCTTCTGCAGCCACGGGATCAGAAAGTGCGTCCCCTCGCCCTGCGTCTCCTCCAGAACTCCGCGGAACCGATCGAACAACACCGCGCGATGCCCGCCGTCGACTGCGGGGAAACAGGTTTGGGAAACAGGTTCGGGTGACAGGCTCGGAATAGAAACTATGCCTAGTAACTGGAGAGGGCGAAATTCTGGCGACGTTCGCCAACACACGCAGCATGATCTCGAGACGAGGTAACACGTACCCGTATAGAGTGACGCGTTAAGCAAGCTGCCGCCCACGCCGAGCGTGATGGCGAGCCTGGCGATGTTCGTCAGCACAGCTGTCGCAGACGAGCTCATGTTGGCGAAGTTCGCTCGTTTAGATAGTTACAAGCTTCGCCTCAGCTGAGCTCACAGCACGAGAGACGCGACGCTCTGCGAATCGTAATCGGATCTTCAAAGATCGTTACCGCTAGAGGGACCGAGGACCCTGTATCCGCCGTAAGATCCGCCGCGTATAGGAACCGAAGGGAAGGTCTCGTGAACGTGGACGACAACTGGCGAAGATCTTGGTCGAAAATCGGCGATACGTTTCGGATCAAATGGATGGGGTGAGAATATCGGCGACTTCAGAAATCGGACGGTCCCTAATCGCGCTCCCAGATGCGGACGGACAAGGCGCCTACTATGTGGCGAATAGAAGGCTCTGGAGAGTCCAGGTTACGTTCTGGAAGCATGAGAGGAATGAGACAAGTAGAGGTGGCGTGTGATCTCGACAACGAAGAAGCGCGACCTGGCGAGTACAAAAAGCGTGTGGTAACGAATCGTTCGGCGTAGGCCATTGTGCGGGCTTCGCAGCTGTGGCTAATCGCGCTACTTGCACTTGGATACTATATAATATTTAAAAAACATGTCCACCCCGATTAATAGATAGTTTATTATTGATCAAACCAATAACTAATTGTGTTCTCTCGATCAAGCCATCTATTTCACAGTAGGAACCCGTCAGAATGTAGCAAACTCAGATCACATGTCCACCACAAAGAAACATTACATTTTTCTTTTCTTAATTGCATACACGTGTCCATTTCGCTCAGGCCTTGGCGGCCTGGGGAGTGGAAGTCGGAACAGCCGTATCAGGAGCCCGGGCGGCCGTGCTCTTGAGGTCCAACAACCCATCCTCCTTGAGCTTGGGGTCGAACCGGAGCACCTCCTTGCAATTCCGCGCCTTGAACGCCGCCTCTAGCTCCCTCTCCACTCGTCTCGCTACCTCCTTCAGTGCCTTGGCCTTGGGAGGACCGGGAGCAGCATAGTCCACTGACTTCTTCTCTTCCTCTGAACACACAAAGGATAAAAAGGAGATACGTAGGTTCATCATTGGGTGCATGTAGGTTTCAGATCATCTCTTGTATCATGCGTATTGAAACGGAGCAACACCAAAAGCATGAAGGTGCACATGTGGCTGCGGAATGCACAAGCATGTGAAAAGCCCCGTCCTTAGATCCACTCTCGTTCTTGGTGATTCAGTCACATCATGGTCTTGGAAGGCCGAGGAAGGGCCTGTACCTTTACTAGAGCTGGAAGATTCCTTTCTGTCACTCACCAGTCATGAGGGGCTTGCAGTCAAGAGGGTTCTCCCACCGGTTCTGCTCCGGCCCCTCGTCATTCCCCGGGGGGGCAGCCCCGTTCTCTGCAATCCACTGGTCCTTGATTGCCTCTAGCACCGCCTTGGAGGGGCGCGTGATGTGGGTCACCTTTATCCACGCACATGCACTTGGTACCCGCGCGAAGTGCAGCCGCATGCTCTGGTACACCTGGGAGGGGGAGAGGGGATGAAAGAGGGACGGAGGGGAGGAGGGTGTGTAGGAAGGGGAAGTGGGAGGGTTGCAATCAACAGCATTCTCCCACCGGTTCTGCTCCGGCTCCTCGACATTCTCCAGCGGGTTCTCTGCAATCCACTGGTCCTTGATTGCCTCTAGCACCGCCGTGGAGGGGCGTGTGATGTGGGTCACCTTTATCCACGCACATGCGCTTGGCACCCGCGCAAAGTGCAGCCACATGCTCTGGTATACCTAGGGGGTGGGGGGTGGTTGGGTTGAGAGAAACGTGTGATGTGGGTCACCTTTATCCATGCACATGCGCTTGGCACCCGCGCAAAGTGCAGCTGCATGCTCTGGTATACCTGGAAGGGGGAAAGAGAATGGGAGAAGGGGCAAGGGTGTGTGTGCGGGGTTGGGATGGGGACGGAGGAGGAGAACTTTGCAGGACGGCCGGGCAAAGTACAGCCGCATGGCGAGGCCTGCAAGTACCTGTTGAAAGTCCCCTCTTTCTGACCCTGCTCACCTGGCGAGACACGCCGATGTACTGTAGCACTTTGTCGTCATTGTAGATGCCATACACGGACGCCTTGGCTCCCGCTTGCGTGCAATCCGATATAAGCCCCTCCTCTGTAAGATACGGCACCCAGTCTAGATCCGCCATACGCGGGTGCGCTCCAGCTGCTGCTGCCGCTCCTCCTGCGGCTGCTCCGGCTGTTGCCCCCCCGGTTGCCTCGCTCTTCCGCTGCGCCATCTGTCTGCGCCGATACTCCTCCTGCGCCTGCCTTGATTGCGAGTGGGTGGGTGGTTGTTGAAAAAAAGGAACGACAATCAGCCCACCTTCCTCCTGCACTTGCAGGACTGGGAACAGGTGGGTTGGGTTGCAGTGGGTTCGACTGGCGTGAAAGGAAGACCTCTGCCTCCATTCCAGCTGCCTCGATATCCCTTTGCAGAATACGCAGCGCAGGTAGTGGTTCGCTGGGAAAAAAGGCAGATGCGTACGGGTTCTAACTCCAGCCTTTTACAAGGCACGAGCAGGAGTGAACGAACGGCTTGCATCAGCGGTCCCTGTCTCTGGTAACCTGCCTTATCATTCTGATATTTTTAGCGATACTATTCTAGCAGTGGCGTGTGTTTTCATTGTTATTTTATTGGCAATGAAATCTTACCCTGGCGGTGGCCTGACGGGTTTGCTCCGCATGAGCTTCAGCCGCTGCGAGCTTCTGCTTCCACTTGGGCTCCGACGACTGACCCGCATCGCCGTCGCCTGCATCCGCAAATGAACATGGTCCAGAGAAACAAATATGAAAATATTGGAGATGGATGTGTGATGTGTCGGTCAGAATATGTTTGTATCGCGTTCGATGCTTAATAGCACATGCAGCAGCGGAAGTGCAGGTGAACGCCATTTTGGCCTCGGAAATGGATTAGGATCAGGCAGTCTTTATCCGGAAATTTTTGCTTACCTGCAGCAGCGCAAGTGCAGGCTAAACGTCGGGCAGCAGTCGCATTGGGTCGCAGAGACACGCTGGACGACTGCCTTGAGACCAGCCGCTGCAAGGAAGTGCTGCAAGCAGGGAGACGACAGTACAATGGACATGAACAGAATGGATGGAACGTTGGATATGGAAGCATACAGGAATCCTCATTCCTATGTAGAACGAATACCTGTGAAGGTGATTGGGGGGTTGGTGAAAAACACGAGGATTCGCCACGCTTTCCGACGCACGACCAATGGCTGAGTGCCGAGGGGGTTTCACTCACCCGACGGCAGTGGAAGTAGCGAGAGCCTCCATTTCTTCCTCAACGAGGCAAGTAGTTTCAAGAAATGACAGTGGGAGAGGAGAATCTTCAGGAAAACTAGAGTTAGGAGTTTCGGAGCAGGGATTTGAAATAGGAAATCTACGAACTTCAGGGACTACAAAAGTACTGGAAGTGGAATGACTAGCAAATGTAAATTGATCCGTGGGTGGAACGGACGGAAACAAAGGAACCTCGAGATTTGTTTCTCGATTCGTACACAACCGCGCTAAAACAAATTGCAAACGTTTTGAACACCCTTGTTTGCAGCGAGCTGACCCTTGGAAATTGTCGTGTTGGAGATGAGATTTCTGAAGCTCCAGTCAGTTGCTGCCAGCATGGATGTGGCCTTCCGCCACGTCGGCTGTGACCTGAAGAGTGGGGAAGCGGAAGCATCCACTTGCTTCCCATTGGTCCACCTTAAATTTATGAGATTGACTATTGTATAAGCAGGTCTCACAATGATGAACTTTATATCAGTATCAATTGAGCTTTCCGTGTATAACTGGTCTATGCTCATAAGATACATTTCAATTTGTGCAGTTGAATTCGGTAACTACGATTTCGCAGACCAAGTTTTAGGTCGGGGAGCTGATAGTTCCCTGAGTAACTTTCACGAGTGCTACTCTCGTCACTTAATTGTTAGGTCTCCGTCTGTTACGCGAATTCAGGCTCGATTGATTCCATATCGCGGTATCTAACCCGCTCGTTGGTAGGTTCGATTCGACTTTCCGCTAACAATCGCCTTCGTGTCGCTGACAGTCGCCTGCGATGGGCACAGTAACGGACGACCGTCCCGGCGACGGTCCCGCAGCTCGCGATGCCACCACCTCCGCCACCGCCGCCGCCACGACCCCCTCCGCCGCCAACCCCGCTTCCGCTTCCGCCGCTGTCGCTTCTGGGAAGCGCAAAGAGCGGGAAGAAGCCGCGGGGGACGGTGCAGACGGCGGCGAGCAGCGGGAGAACCGCGGAACTGGGGGGGCGGCGGAAGAAGCGGCCGGACGGACCGGGGGGGAGCCGGCGGAAGCGGAAGCGGCGGTAGCGGAGGATCTAGGACCGGTGGTGGGGCCCGTCATTCCCAAGGCGAAGAAGAAGAAAAAGCCGCTGGTGTTCGAACGCGTGTACTTGGACGCGTTGCCGTCCGCTGAAATGTGAGATTCGGTATAGAGGCGTTTCGAAGGTTTGAGAAATATCGGTACCTGAGATAAGAGGTTCAAAAAACAGGGGTGCACTGGGACGCTTTGCCGACTGTCGAACCAGGTACAAGAAGAGCGACATGCACCGCTTGTACATCTCATATCCACCGTGGTCCACCCCTTTTCACCTCTCTCCACCTTTCCAATTCACCAGGTACGAGAAGAGCTACATGCACCGTGACTGGGTGACGCACGTGGCCGTGTCAGATGCCGATTTCTTCATCACAGGCAGCAGAGACGGTGCGTTATAAGCAGAGAAATAATTCCTTATAAGCAGAGAGGGTTTGTTGCAAGTTAAGGGGTTCGGTTCGGTATAAGCAGAGGTTCCATTGTAGGTAGAAATGGTGTTGCATAAGCAGAATTGTGCGTTATCTAATAAGGTGCCAAGCAGAGGATTCGTTGTAGGTAGAGATGGTGTCGCATAAAAAGTGTGCCAAAGTTTGTGAAGGGATAACGGCCACTGCTGGTGGTGTTGCATGTAACATAGCGTGTATTAGAGTGTTCTACGCAGCAGATTTTTCACTCCCCTTCTCGTTTCCCTCCCCACTCCCGCTGCTCTCCTCCGCTCCTCCCCCCATTGCTTTCTCCCTTTGTCTATAATCAAAACAGGCCATCTCAAGTTTTGGAAGAAAAAGGCGGTGGGGGTTGAGTTTGCAAAGCACTTCCGAGCCCACCTGGGACCAGTTGAAGGGCTGGCGGTGAGTGGGGCGGGACAGTGTGGGATGTTGTGGGTTGGTGTCTGTCACAATATGGCTGCTGCTTGAGGGTGTGAGAGGTTTGGGCAGGGGGGTTGGAAGAAAAGAGCAGTAGGGGTGGAGTTTGCAAAGCACTTTCGAGCACACCTGGGACCAGTTGAAGGGCTTGCGGTGAATGGGGCGGGATGTGGAATGTGACAATATGGGGGGCTCGCTTTGCATGTGACAGTATGCAGTTCTATCTATGTTGGTCTAGAAGGCGTAAGCAAAGCACCCTCCCTATCGTCCATACCCACTCCGTACCCCCGAATTCCCCCCTTTCCTGCCCCCCTCCCCCATACCATCTGCCGCCTCCTATCAGTTGAGTGCAGATGGCACGCTCTGCAGCACCATATATCGCAGGACAACCCCGCAAAGATCTTCGACGTGGCCATTCCATACAGACCTTCCCCCCCTTCTAACCTATCCCCATTCCCCCGTCCCTGCCCCCTCTTTCCACTCCCCCCCTTCCCCTTCCCATCAGGTGAGTGCAGATGGCACGCTATGCAGCACCATCTCCTCGCAGGACAAGGCAGCAAAGATCTTCGACGCGGCGGCCTTCGACATGATCTCCATGCTCAAGCTGCCCTTCACTCCCTCCCTGTCTTCCATACCCCCCTTCACCCTCTTATCTAACCCCCCTCCTGTTTGCAGGTGAGTGCGGATGGCACGCTCTGCAGCACCATTTCCTCGCAGGACAAGGCAGCCAAGATATTTGACGTGGCGACCTTCGACATGATCTCAATGCTCAAGCTGCCCTTCGAGCCCTCAGCTGTTTGCTTCCTCTTCAAGCCCGACAATGCCATAGCCAAACTCGCTATAGCGGATAAGAACTCGCCGGAGATCCACGTGTTTGATGCGAGGGGCGGGACGAACGAGGCCGTGGGGAGGGTGAAGGTGCATGGGGCGCCGGTGGTGGCTATGCAGTTCAATGTGGCGGCGAATGCGGTGGTTTCCACTGATGCGAGTGGGATGATTGAGTATTGGAGCGCTGACACGTATACATTCCCTGCTGCCAGGTGGGTGGTGTGGTGGGGGGTGGCAGGCTAGAGGTGAGAGCTGGAGGTGGGAAGAGGTGAGAGGTTGGGAGGGTGAAGGTGCACGGGGCGCTGGTGGTGGCGATGCAGTTCAATGTGGTGGCGAATGCGGTGGTTTCGACCGACTCGAGTGGGATGATTGAATACTGGAGCGCTGACACTTGATGACTTTTGAGTCGACTCAAAAGTCACTGATGCGAGTGGGATGATCGAGTACTAGAGCGCTGACACTTACACGTTTCCTGGGGCAAGGTATGGAGTAGGCAGCAGGAGGTGCGTGGTTGGTTGGTGCATATTGGAAAAGTGTATGGTTGGTTGGTGCATGGTGCATGGTTCATGGGGATGGGGAAGGTGAAGGTGGAATGGTGCCTAGCGTCATCTTACCTGTAGCCTCACTCCCCTCCACCGTTCTCCACCCCTCTCCACCGTTCCCAGCGTCCAATTCAAGTACAAGACAGACACGGACCTCTATGCCCTTGCAAAGGCCAAGACCTACCTTGCCCGTGATTGCTATGCTCCCAGCTCACTCCTCTCCACTGCTGCCAACCCCTCTCCACCACTCCCAGCGTTCGCTTCAAGTACAAGACAGACACGGACCTCTATGCCCTTGCAAAGGCCAAGACCACGGCACCTTCGTTAGAGGTGAGTTACGTGATTGAAGAAGTGAGTTACGTGATTGAAGAAGTGAGTTACGTGATTGAAGAAGTGAGTTACGTGATTGAAGAAGTGAGTTACGTGATTGAAGAAGTGTTTTGAGACGTCTCAAAACACTTGTTCAATCACGTGCCCTTGCAAAGGCAAGACCACGGCACCTTCGTTAGAGGTGAGTTGGATGGCGGAAGTAAAGGGGTGGAGGGGAGTAGGATTGCTCGCAACCCAGCCTATCACCACATGCCGTGTGTAGGCAGGCAGCATCCATTTCTCTGCTTCTTGACCTTAGAGTCGACGTAAAAAGTCACTTTTGAGAATTCCCAGAAGTGTAGGCAGCATCCATTTCTCTGCTTCTTGACCTTAGTAGAGTCGATGTAAAAATTCAACACCTCACAGGCTTCACGCGCGCAGGTAAATGCCCTTTTCGTTGCTGTTTCACCTCCTTCGTACCCTCTCCCTCTCCCATCAGATCTCACCAGAGGGCTGCCAGTTTGCCACTGTATCTCCGGATCGGCGCATCCGGGTGTTCTGGTTCGCCACTGGCAAGCTCACAAGGACTCGTTCCCACTCCCCACTTGTTCTTTCCTCTCTCTCCCCTCTCACTGGTCCCTCCTCTCCTTTCCCTTTCCCTTTCCCTTTCCCTTTCCCTTTCCCTTTCCCTGTCCCTGTCCCCTTCTCCACCATCAGATTGCACCAGACGGCTCCCAGTTTGCCACTGTATCTCCGGACCGGCGCATTCGAGTGTTCTGGTTCGCAACTGGCAAGCTCAGAAGGACTTATGACGAATCACTGGAGGTAAGTGTATATGCGTTCATATATGTGTAGCGTACAAAGACTTGTATCTCTATGTATATATGTATATATATGTGTCCCTCACTGAGTGGTCATATATATATGCATGTCGAAATTTGAGACGTCTCAAAGTCGTTTCTATGTATTCCTAACTGAACGGTCACATAGATATGCATGTCCAAAAGAAACAGCTCCCATCCACTCTCATTCACGTTCGCACCCATTCCCGTTCGCACCCATTCCCGTTCGCACCCATTCCCGTTCGCACCCATTCCCGTTCGCACCCATTCCCGTTCGCACCCATTCCCGTTCGCACCCATTCCCGTTCGCACCCATTCCCGTTCGCACCCATTCCCGTTCGCACCCATTCCCGTTCGCACCCATTCCCGTTCGCACCCATTCCTGTTTGCTCCCATTCCCGTTTGCTCCCATTCCCGTTTGCTCCCATTCCCGTTTGCTCCCATTCCCGTTTGCTCCCATTCCCGTTTGCTCCCATTCCCATCTCCTTTTCCTTCCAGGCAGCACAGGGGCTACAGAGGGGGGACGTGCCTCTGTACCGGCTAGACGCAATCGACTTTGGGAGGCGGTTAGCGGTGGAGAGAGAGGAAGAGGAAGAGGAAGAGGAGTAGAGAGACTCGCCACTTGCTTGGAAATAATTATCTCGGTTTCCTCCCTGTGCAGGCAGCACAGGAGTTGCAAAGAGGGGATGTGCCTTTGTACCGGCTAGACGCGATCGACTTTGGGAGGCGGTTGGCTGTGGAACGAGAGATGGAGAGGGAGAGGGAGAGCAACGACGACGTGCCGTCGGCCAATGCTGTCTTTGACGAGACGGGCAATTTCATCATTTACCCAACGCTTTTGGGGATAAAGGTGGGTGTCGTGAGTTTTGTTGGAAGCTATTTTCCTTCCACGAGGAAAATCAGGGAGGATGCAGCGAGGGGATTCGGTGAGAGGAGGCAGCAAGTGTGTCAATCTGCATGAGAACAAGGTGGTGTGGTGGTGTGGTGGTGTGGTGGTGTGGTGGTGTGGATCGCTTTTGAGACGTCTCAAAAATACTCTGCATGAGAACAAGGTCGTGTGGATCCTTGACATGTTGGGGAGCAGCGAGCAGTATTTGAACTGTGTTTACACCTACTTTTTTTCCACGTACCTTCCCCACCCCGCCGGTGGTGAACCTGCACCAGAACAAGGTGGCGCGGATCCTCGGGAAAGTCGAGAGAAACGAGCGGTCTCTGCGTATCGCGTTATACCAGGACGGCAAGGCGGCGAGGCTCATAAGGAAGATGAGTTCTTAGTCAAGTTCCCACCCTTTCCCCACCCCGCAGGTGGTGAACCTGCATGAGAACAAGGTGGCTCGCATCCTGGGCAAGGTGGAGAGCAACGAGCGGTTTCTCAGAATCGCTCTCTACCAGGGGGGCAAGGCAGCGAGGCGGATCAGGAAGATGGCGACCATTGCCAACTCACAAGACGCCAAGGGGGGGCCATCAGTGGACCCTTCTGTGATTGCCTGTGCCTTCAAGAAGCACCGCTTCTACCTCTTCAGGTGAGGAAGATGGGGGGGCATGTTGTGAGGTGCTTCAAGGCAGCCAGGCGGATCAGGAAGATGGCGACCATTGCGAACTCCCAAGACGCCAAGGGGGGACCATCAGTGGACCCTGCAGTGATCGCCTGTGCTTTTAAGAAGCACCGATTCTACCTCTTCAGGTGGGTGCTTATTGTGAGCATCCTTGCCTCTAGTAGTGGCAGGTGGCAGCAGGACAGGAAGCCAAGGGCGGGCCGTCTGTGTACCCTACTGTGCTCGCCTGTGCCTTCAAGAAGCATCGATTCTACCTCTTCAGGTGACTTTTGAGTCGACTCAAAAGTCACCTCCTTCAAGAAGCATCGATTCTACCTCTTCAGGTGACTTTTGAGTCGACTCAAAAGTCACCTCCTTCAAGAAGCATCGATTCTACCTCTTCAGGTGACTTTTGAGTCAACTCAAAAGTCACCTCCTTCAAGGAGCATCGATTCTACCTCTTCAGGTGACTTTTGAGTCGACTCAAAAGTCACCTCCTTCAAGAAGCATCGATTCTACCTCTTCAGGTGGGGAAGGAGAGGGACCTTGGCATATTATGAGGCGCCTCAAAGGGAGAGGCGGATAAGGAAGATGGCTGCAATCGCCAACTCACACGACGCCAAGGAGGGGACCATCAGTGGACCCGACTGTGCTCGCCTGTGCTTTTAAGAAGCCCCGATTCTACCTCTTCAGGTGAATAAAACGATGGGCATCTTGTGAGTGTCTCAACGCCTCTGCACCCCATTTCATCCCTCTCCATCCATCTGCACCCATCCAGTCAGCGCGAGCCAGAGGAGGGAGAGGAGCCATCACAGGGCAGGGACGTGTTCAACGAGAAGCCTCCACCAGAAGAAATGCTTGCCCTGGCGGATGTGGCAAGAACCGGATCATCCGCTTTGCCTGACAGTGTGGTGAGTGCCTCGCTCTCGCATTGCCTCGCTCTCGCATTGCCTCGCTCTCGCATTGCCTCGCTCTCGCATTGCCTCGCTCTCGCATTGCCTCGCTCTCGCATTGCCTCGCTCTCGCATTGCCTCGCTCTCGCATTGCCTCGCTCTCGCATTGCCTCGCTCTCGCATTGCCTCGCTCTCGCATTGCCTCGATTGCCTTGCTCTCGCATTGCCTCGCTCTCGCATTGCCTCGCTCTCGCATTGCCTCGCTCTCGCATTGCCTCGCTCTCGCATTGCCTCGCTCTCGCATTGCCTCGCTCTCGCATTGCCTCGCTCTCGCATTGCCTCGCTCTCGCATTGCCTCGCTCTCGCATTGCCTCGCTCTCGCATTGCCTCGCTCTCGCATTGCCTCGCTCTCGCATTGCCTCGCTCTCGCATTGCCTCGCTCTCGCATTGCCTTGCTCTCGCATTGCCTCGCTCTCGCATTGCCTCGCTCTCACATTGCCTCGCTCTCACATTGCCTTGCATTGCATTGGAGTGCCTGTAAACCGTAGAGAACGCGCGGCAGCAACGGGTACTACGAGGGGGTGCTAAACTTTACCAGAGGAATGCCCGCGCACGGTAGAGAACTTCACCACGCCCTGCAGCAACGGGTACTACGAGGGGGTGCTGTTGCACCGGGTCATCAAGGGCTTCATTTTCTCCTACTCTTTCTTCATCCTCTCCCCTGGTTTTGCTTCATTCTCCCCATTCCTCCCCACAGGTCATGCACACCACCATGGGTGATATCCACCTCAAACTATACCCAGAGGAATGCCCTCGAACTGTCGAAAACTTCACCACGCATTGCAGCAACGGCTACTACGAGGGGTTGCTGTTCCACCGCGTGATCAAGGGCTTCATGGTGCAAACCGGCTGCCCCCTCGGGGACGGCACGGGCGGCCAGAGCATCTGGGGAGGCGAATTCGCCGACGAGTTTCACAAGAGGTGGGTTGGAGGGGGGTGGCGCGTGGGGAGAGGGTGGGGAGGAGTGGGGAGGAGTGGGAGGGAGGCTGTGCACGTGTGTATGAGTGTGGGTGGGTGTGGGGATAGTAGTGGCAGCACATAGTGCACTGCAGCAACGGCTATTACTAGGGGTTGCTGCTCCACCGCGTGATCAAGGGCTTCATGGTGCAAACCTAGTTTTCCTTCATCCTCCCCCCCCGCCCGTCCGCCCGACCGGCTGCCCCCTCGGGGACGGCACGGGCGGCCAGAGCATCTGGGGAGGCGAGTTTGCTGACGAGTTCCACAAGAGGTGGGTTGGAGGGGGGTGGAGAGGGGTGGAGAGGGTTGGAGAGGGGTGGAGAGAGGTGGAGATAGGTTCTATGCGAGTGGGTGTGTGCGGGTGGGCATGGCACGGGCGGCCAGAGCATCTAGGGAGGCGAATTTGCTGACGAGTTCCACAAGAGGTGGGCTGGGAGGGGGTGGAAGGGGTTGGGAAGGAGTCTGTGTGTGAGTATGAGTGTATGTATTAGTGTGAGTGCGTGCGTGTGTGTGTGTGTGTGTGTGTGTGTGTGTGTGGTGTGTGTGTGCGCGCGCACGCGCGCGCGTGTGTGTGTGTGTGCGTGCGTGCGCGTGTGTGTGTGTGTGTGCGTGCGTGTGCGCGTGCGTGAGTGTGTGTATGCTCCTTCCCCATTCTCTCTTCCCCACGTTCTTCCCCTTTTCTCTTGCCTTGCCCTTTTTCTCTTCCTTTCCCCCCCTCGACACTGCTCATCCTCTCGTCATTGTTTCCCTTCCCTTGTTTCTCTCCCATTCCCTCCCCTCATATCCCTTACCCTACAATCTGCAGCAGGATTGCCCCTTCACGCTATCAATGGCCAACGCAGGTCCCAACACTAACGGCAGCCAGTTCTTCATCACCCTCCCTCCCCTTGCCCCCCCACCTACCTTCCTTTCTCTGCCCCTTCCTCACCTTCTCCCTCCCTTTTCCCCCCCACCTACCTTCCTTTCTCTCCCCTTTACCCCCTCCTCTGTGCTCCCTCCCCCCCGGGCATTCTGCAACAGGATCGCCCCTTCACGCTATCAATGGCCTATGCAGGCCCCAACACCAACGGCAGCCAGTTCTTTATCACAACTGCCACTGCTCAATGTCTTCATATGCCCCTCTCCGTTACTCTTTTCTTCCCCTCTTCTCCGTCTTGCCTGCAGTCTGCGTCACGATCGGCCCTTCGCTTTATCCATGGCCAACGCAGGTCCCAACACCAACGGCAGCCAGTTCTTCATCACCACTGTCCCTGCTGCTATTCTCTCTATCCCCTCGCGCTCTGTTGTTCATTCCTGTACTACTTTCTCCCTGCTCCCCTCTCCCCTCCCCATGCAGTCTGCGTCACGATCGGCCCTTCACCTTATCCATGGCCAACGCAGGTCCCAACACCAACGGCAGCCAGTTCTTCATCACCACTGTCCCTGCTGCTATTCTCTCTATCCCCTCGCGCTCTGTTGTTCATTCCTGTACTACTTTCTCCCTGCTCCCCTCTCCCCTCCCCATGCAGTCTGCGTCACGATCGGCCCTTCACCTTATCCATGGCCAACGCAGGCCCCAACACCAACGGCAGCCAGTTCTTCATCACCACTGTCGCCACGCCTTGGCTCGACAACAAGCACACCGTGTTCGGGCGTGTAGTGAAGGGCATGGACGTAGTACAGGTGAGGGAGATTGTTTGGTGCAGATGAGTGTGTACAGATGGGTGCACATGGGTTATGTATGGTGGGTTTGTTTGTGTTCTTTATCGTGGCTTAACGACAAGCACACCGTGTTCGGGCGTGTGGTTAAGGGCATGGACGTAGTACAGGTGAGGGAGAGAGAGGGGTGGCAAGGAGTTTGTATGGGTACATTGGTTTAACGTATGTATGAGTTTATTTGCATTCTTCATCACCACTGTCGCCACGCCTTGGCTTGACAACAAACACACCGTGTTTGGGCGTGTGGTTAAGGGCATGGATGTCGTACAGGTGAGGGAGATTGTTTGGTGCAGATGAGTGCGTACAGATGGGTGCAGATGGGTTATGCATGCTTTCTTCATCACCACTATTGCCACGCCTTGGCTGTGCAACAAGCACACCGTGTTCGGGCGCGTGGTTAAGGGCATGGACGTCGTCCAGGTAAGGAAGAGAGGGGGGTGGCGAGGAGTACATATGGGTACATTAGGTTCATGCATGTATGAGTTTATTTGCATTCTTCATCACCACAGTCGCCACGCCTTGGCTGGACAACAAGCACACCGTGTTCGGGCGTGTGGTTAAGGGCATGGATGTAGTACAGGTGAGCTGAGAGAGAGTGGTTGGGAGGAGTAGAGATGGGTGCATGTGATCTATGTTTGGGTCTACTTGCATTCTTTATTGCCACCTGTGCGACGCCTTTTCTCCCCCCTTCCCTCTGCCCCTCGTTCCTGCTCTCCTCCTTTCCCCCATGGTTAGAAGGCCAAGGAGGATCATAATGAGAAGCCCTTGTGGGAAGGTCTTTTTCCTGCCCCTTTTTCCCCCCTCTCCCCACTCCCCTCTCTTGCATCAGCTCATTGAGAAGGCCAAGGCGGATCGTAACGACAAGCCTTTCTGTTGTTGGCACGGCTGTTTCCCAAGTGATTGAAGAAGTGTTTTGAGACGTCTCAAAACACTTCTTCAGTCATGAGAAGGCCAAGGCGGATCGTAATGACAAGCCTTTCTGTTGTTGGCACCCAACCGGCTGTTTCCCAAGATGCATGTCTTTTTGGCCCCCTTTCTTCTCCCCCCTTCCCGCCTCTGCACATTCCTCCTCTCCTCCGTTTCCCGATGCATTATCAGCTTAATGAGAAGGCAAAGGTGGATTGCAACGACAAGCCCTCCAAGGTGACTTTTTAGTCGACTTAGAAGTCTCCCCCCTCTCCCCACTCCCCTCTCTTGCATCAGCTCATTGAAAAGGCTAAGGTGGATCGTAACGACAAGCCATATGAAGACATCAAGATCCTCAATGTCACCGTGCCCAAGTAGGGCCATTCGTTTTGAGAGTTACTATTGAAACATGCTTATAGTGGATCGCAATGCCGACGACTCAGGCCATACGAAGACATCAAGATCCTCAATGTCACTGTGCCCAAGTAGGGCCTCTCTTGTTGAGAGTTACTGTAGTTACAACGTTCAGAACGTGCCTACTACGGTAGATCGCAATGTTGAAACTCGAGCCATATGAAGACATAAAGATTCTCAATGTCACTGTGCCCAAGTAGGGCCTCTCGTGCTGAGAGCTACCGGTACTTATTAAACATGCTTATCGCGGAGTGCAATGCAATGTCAAGGAGTCAGGCCATATGAATGCATCAAAACTCTCATGTCATTGTGCCCATGTGGGACCACTACATTGGGAAGATTATTCCAGACTCCTGTGGTGCACAATATACACTATTGGTGTTAACTCTTCAATTGTCAAAATTGGCAGCTCTGGTGATAGACGGGAGCAGCTGGAGACAAAATTGCGGCAGCGCAGCTAAACCTCGGGCTGCCTCGCCATCAGAGGGCACACCTGCACAGCGTGCTCCTTCCCGCCTAACACTTGTAAGGACGCGTCACAATTGCGACATCGATCCTGCAGGAGATCGGTGTTCTAGGTGTACAGTTATTCGCTGTGTCTTGTATCCCTATTTCGTTGAAGGTCGCAAAGACCCGACACACGTCACCGAACGCGATATCCCTACCAAATCGATCTGTCACCGCACTCAAAAAGGTAATGCATTTGCAACTTCTAAAAAGGCTTCTAACCCCGCTAACTATCGAACCTGAAGACGATCGCGACACATCTGGCTCAGAGGAGATCGATTCTCACAGCTTCGGTGTGCGACCGCGATCCTCCATCGATGTCGCAGTTGTGACGCGTCCTAAGTGTGCCCTGAATGTGTGCCTCTCACATCAGTGGGTGGGAGGGGGCCCCGGTATCTCCCATCCCATCCCATTGCCCCTGGAAGCGAATTACGCTCACATAATTTACGTAGTCACACACCATGAGTACGCGGTTGAACGCTAAACAACTCCCTGCTAGCAGCCCAGACGAGAATTATAGGTGGCGCTGCTGCTGGCACGAAGCGTGTCGTTATCATTTGATATCCAAGTGTGCTTTGAGTCGACTCAAAACCCCCCTGCTCGGGCGCACTGCTGGAGGGCAGAGAACCGTCTGGCAGGAACAAAGCGGGCTTGGAAAAGACCAGCACCCACACCAGTTGAGAATTGTAGATTGCGGTTCTGCTGCTGCTGGCATGATGTGTGTGCAGCCACAGCAGCAGCTGCGATCGCACTAGAAACGGCAGATGCGTGAAATCTTCCAGCTGGAGCAGCAGTGACAGCAGATGGGGCAGCACGAGCAGCAAATGGGCTGGCAACAGGAGCAGCCAGGACATCAACGGAACAGTCAGCAGAGACAGTAGGAGAGGTGATAACAGAGTGGGTTGAAGCGTCCCGATCCCCAATCACTGCTCCTTCGCTACCGTAACCATCACCATCCTCTTCCGCCTTCTCCTTATCTCCCCCCACTGCTCCCCCGCTCGCACTTTGAAAATTCTCGTAAGTCACCCCCTTCGCCTCGCACACCACTCTCTGGCTGGCGGCAGCCATCCACTTAGCGTGCAGATACTCCCACTTGCGCCACGGCGGAACGTGCATGCCTTGCGCCCTTAAAGCCCCGCGCATCGCGCCAGATACCACCTCCACCAGCCGCGCCAGCCGCTCCGACCTCCCGACGAAGATCAACGGCGTGGATTCGAGCGCCGCCGCGTACTCGCGCGTGGGCCGTGCGATCTGGAACTGCGCGCGGAAATCAACGTCTATGATGAAACGCTGGGGGACGGCGGCGGAAGCGCCGTTGGCGGAAGCGGAGGAGGCGCTAGTCAGGAAAGGGGAGGCGCGGGTGACAATGCTGGGGGGAGCAGTTCGTGTGAAGGTGGGAGGAGGGGAGGCTTTGTTGTCACAACGGTGGAGGATGGGATCGAAGACGGTGGAACAGGGAGAGGCGGATGGGTGCGAGGGAGCGGGCGGATTCGCGGACGTAAGGACGTCGATGTACTCGTATGATCCTGCAGGAGCGACAGAGAAAGAGGAGGAAAGTTAGTGTTCCGGAAAGCTGTGCGGAAATTGAGGAACAAAATCGAACGGGCGATGCATGAAGAAAACGAGTTGCAAAATTGGAATAAATGGCATAGCACGGAATCTGGTTACTGGGGTGATTGAGAGCAGGGAGTTATTACTGACCCTCGGGAATGGTGGGAGAGGTGTCCCACTGCGTCGCGCAAACCGCCGCGTCGTACCCCATCGCACGCAGTCGCCCTGCGACCGCCGCGTTCAGGCTGCTCCCTCGCAGCTCCTGCGACGGGATGTCGTCGCACGACAATTTTGCGCGCGCGTCGGTCATCGCGGCGATGACGTCAGCGTAGAGAGCGCGCTCAACGGAGTCATCCATGGCTGCCAGCGACTGCGGAGGGAAAACAGCGCGAGGAAGTGAAACGAAAAATACGGGGATTAGAGGGGTGATGGTAGGCTGCTCCTTACATGCTGATTAGACAAGATATGAGACAAAAACGAGCAACGACAAATGCGCAAATGCTTGCGGATGGCTGAGGAGGTGAGGCGATGCCGTACCTGAATCAAAAGAAACTGATTTTGCTCCGCCATTTGCATCTGCCTGTCCAGATAATCCGCTGACAGCCGTCGATTCAGTATCGGCTGTGCTGGATGCGAAGCGCGCATGGTGGTCGATGCCGTTACTCCGTGGAGCTCTGTTCTCAGCATCAAGCCGTCGAGCGCGTCGCGATCCTGATCGCCTTCTTCGAGATACTCGGAAATTAAATCGTCGAGGTGCATCGAGGAGGGAATTGCCACGTCAGCGAATGATACGGGCGTGTTCGACGAGTCTTGCGGCCGGGGGTCGAAGGCGTCGCCTTGAATCAGATGCAGCCCGAAACGACCGGCGGGATTTGAGGTGATGCGCGGAGAATCGCTCCCACGAGGGATCGACTGTTGCGCGACGGTCATTTGCGGAAGTTGAAAACAATGCTGCTGTAAATGAGGCGACTGCTGCTGGAATGAAGGAGCAGCGGGGCCTAACGAAAGACCTAGATTTGCGGGGACATTAACGGAGGCGCTTTCCGCGGTCGACACACGAATCTCTTTCTCTTTGCTGAAAGCGTGGGCGAAGCGAGAGGAGCTCTGGGACGATAGAATGCTGATCAGGCCCGGCATGGCGCCTGGTCGGATCGGCCGGCCTCAGACGTCGAAATGTGTGAAAAAATGGGAAGTGCAGGCTTTGAAGGTAATGAAGAGCTCTGCTGTGGTGTAGTAGTACAAATGTGGATGGCCTTTCAAAGTTACTTAAGAGATATGTAGAGCTCACTGTATGTAGTGACGGGAGAACGACGTATGGCTGGGTCTAGAAGCAGACGCGCGGCTTCGGAGCGACGAGACGAGATCCTGTGTTGGGTTCGCTTCACACGTTGAGCGGACTGCTTTCGGCTCGACACGGGGTGACGTGACGTGTCAGATGGTACGAGAGGAAGTGTGCGGAACGCGAGATGCGGCGCACTAACCCGAGCCAGCTATTATCCGCATCTACTACGCGAATCACCTGTGTCTAGATGCTGCTGTTCGGCCTTCCAGTCTGCTTCGTCGCAAGTAATTACAACCAACCAATCAGTCAGTCTGTTGCTGACGAAAAGGTCCTCCTGGTGCCAGTGGATCAAAGGGTCAAGGGAGCCCCACACATCGCCCTCGGTTCTACTGCCTTGGTGGCCAAACGAAGTGTGGTGCGTGGCCTGGAGTGAAAGGCGAGGGTAGGGCCCCTGCTGACAACTTGCGCCCTGCTGGCAAATTCAAAAGCAGCAGAAATGCGCAAATGTGCGTGAAATTTGTGTCTTGCTTCTGCTGCTGTGGTCTCAAATCTCGATCTCACAACTAGAGCAGATGTGAGGAATTGGACAGGAGTGGATGGGAGCAGAGCAGAGGAGATCAGTGCGTGTCCTAATTTCCCCTCGACATCCATCTGTCATCCATCCGTCATCGGATGGATGACGGTGGCGGATGACGGGGGATGACGGATGGATGACGGTTGGATGTCGAGTCACTTCGGACACACTGCCCAAAAAAATGCTGACCGGCACTGCTGGCGCCGGCAGGGGTAGACCAGAGAAAATGTTGAATGCTCAAATTTGAATCTAACGAATTTCGCTAGCATGTTTCGTCACCCCGTGCAGTCACAAAGGACGGTCGTTTGCCAAGAGATACTTTCGCCATGTTTCCCCCTCAAATTTTGTTATCAAGCTTTGGGTTCGTTGACTGCCTCGTTGACCAGCCCGATGTCACTGTTGGCGGCACCCTTGACTGTAATGATTACACATGGCTGGATGGCGGATGGATGTCGGTCGGATGTCGCATCACTTCGGACACAACGCCGGCCTGTAAATTCATACCCACCCGCCCTGACATCCGTCGACATCCATCAACATGTCACTTCGGACACGCCCTTACGATTATTTAGATGATGGGCCGATTGGAAACCGCGCCACGCACAAACACACACGCGCAGCGCACTTCCTTCTCACACCAGATCCGCACTTCCAGGTCAGCAGAGTTTCTAATTTGAGTTACCCGTTAGAGAATTTCCACGAGGCGAGAATAGCCAACCGTAATCGATCCGACGGTTCTACAACCATCTCGAAGCAGGTGCTGGAGATCTGACGGATGAACGTTGCGCAAAATGGAAGATTCGAGTAGAGTCTCGACTATTCCGTTTGGCTTGATCCTTCCCGCTTCTCTCACCAGTCCGTTTTCTCTGGTCAGTGCTAACGGCAGGAGATGCTCTGCCCAAAAGGAAAGATGCTGGAAATCACCCAGTTGGCTGGGCAGCAAAATTCGGAGGAGACGTGTGACCTGACGATGGCGTGTCCCTTACGTACCGTCGAGGTGGCAACACCATAGCCTCGGATCTTTGACACGTGGTCACTTGACTCTCGTTTTATTGGCTGCAAAGGTGCTGAACTTTCACACGCAACCTTGCCTACACATTGTGTCGCGGGTGGGGAGATCTCGTCACCTGCGAAAAATATTACAGCTGAGTACACTGGAAACAACATGCACTAGATGTGACAGAAACATACAAAATTATAGACGCTATTTGAGGGCACACATTGATCTGTCGGTGCAAGCGGGAGCAGAACATAACACGGAAGGCAACAGAGCAGACATATCTGACAATCAAACAAGGCAAGAACAATCAACAGAGCAACAAAGGGAGTTGCCTGCAGGTGTTCTGTGTGAATATTTCTATGCACACTAACAAATCTCAACTGCAACACGTGCCCCACGCAACAGGATGAGTTGGCACAAATTCTTAAGAACCGTTCATACAACGAACATAATTGTGTGGCTACAGTGGGTAAAAAATCCACTTCCTACGGGCTCCATGTCACCAGTCACACTCGACCAGCCTCCACCTGCACTATTTTTCCTCGCTGCCCCACTCCCTTGGCCACCAGTGCGGGCGGCTTGGCAAAACTTTCAGAGCTGCCCCGTTCCCTTCTTTCACTGCCAGCTGTGATCCCGGGTTGAGGCCATGAGCCAATCGCAGCAGCGCCAAACCTGTCAACTCCTTTGAACCACCAGCACCAGCTCCAGCACCACTGCCATCACCCTCAGAACCGCAAAGGACCGCATTCACTCGTCCAACAGCCTTCCCAGAAACTGTTTCCACTATCTCAGCCCCTGAAGACACTGTTACCTCCCCAACCCCCTCCCTCACGTCCTCTCCACCTCCTTCCCTGGACGGCACGATTCGGACTGGCATGAGTCGTTTGCGCACCACACCCCTGTGGTGAGTCCTCGCAGTGAGCTCCTGCCCCACGTAGCACCCCTTGGTGAAGCTGATGGCGTGCAGTGCTGCTAGGTTGCACTCCAAGGGAAGGGCTTCACCTGCCAGATTGTCAAGGGTAGGTGTGGTGTGGGGAACACAGTGCAGTGAATCGGTGGCTTGCGCACCACACCCCTGTGGTGCGTCCTGGCAGTGAGCTCCTGCCCCACGTAGCACCCCCTTGGTGAAGCTGATGGCGTGCAGTGCTGCTAGGTTGCACTTTTTAGAATTCTGAAAGTGACTCTAAAGGCAGGGCCAAGTGGAGAATGGGTTATAGACAAACATATACCAGCTAGTACAAGCGTGGTCTCTGTGAAAATCGAAGCATACTAGAAACCCAACGAACAAAAGCATCTCGGAATACATGTTAAATTCGTGCCACTCAACATCTCCCTGCATCGCAATGCATACCTCTTGGCATCTCTTCGCACCCCTCCGCCACTCCCATTGCAAACCGAAACCTCCTGTAGCTCTCCTCCCCCTCTTCAACCTGTGCATCCACCAATGGAGCTGGTGGTAATTGAAAAAAGTGGAATGAGAGTGAAGTGGACGGTTAAGAATCACACATCACCGCACTGAATCCCTCTCCTACGAAGAATTGGAATCTTCTACAGATCTCCTCCCCCTCCCCTACCAGTGCATCCACCCATGGGCTAACCCCCCTCCCCACCCCACCCTACCCCCTCCCCTCCCCTCCCATTTGTTTTAGAAACAAACTCACGGATTCCATTAGCGCAAAACAGCCTCTTACACCCAATCCTGATAAAATAGGATTACGATGCTGCCGCTACTGCTCCCTCGTGGCTTCAGCTGTCAACCCTCCCCCCTCCCCACTCCACCCCACCCCACCCCACCCCACTCCATCCCACCTCACCCCACCCCACCCCACCCCACCCCACCCCACCCCACCCCCTCCCCTCCCAGTTACTTCAGAACAAACGTCCAAATTTCACTAGCGAGAAAGAGCCCTCTTGAACCCAGTCCAGGCAGCCTGAGGACCCGATGCCACCGCCACCCCTCCCATGTTGCCTCTGCTGTCAACCCTCCCACCTGACGCTACCGCCCACCCCACCCCACCCCACCCCAACCCTACCCAGATGCTTCAGAATCAACTTACGGATTTCACTGGCAGGGAAGAGCCCTCTGAGCCCCAAGCCAGGCAACCTGGGGTCACGATGCCACCGCCATCCCTCCCTTGTGGCTTCTGCAGTCAGTTCTCCCAACTGATCCACTCTGCCGCCCCACCCCAACCCCTCGCCCGCTGCTGCCTCGTCTGGGAGTGCTGGGTCGGAGGAGAGCCGCGAGTGGAAGTGCGCCCACACTGCCACGTCAGATGACACGTCAGCGAATGACACGTTGGCACGCAGCTTGTGCCTGTGGATAAGGGGGCGTGGGGATGGCAGGGGGGGGAAGGAGCGGCAGGGATGACACGGGGGTGCAAAGGTAAGGGGAGCATGGGACCTGGATTGGAAATACAATCAAGACTACACTTACATAAATACAGTGTGAAATTAAAAAAATAGGAAAATAAAAAGGAAAGAGAGCACACAGAAGAAAAAGCC